TTGGTAGCCCAGGCTGGCCTTGAACTCACAGAGATCTGCCTGCCTCTGCCTCCCGAGTGCTGGGATTAAAGGCGTGCGCCACCACTGCCCGGCGCCTCTGAAGTGTTTTAAGACCACCTTTTTTTATCTAACATATATCTCTGTTTGACCTTGAAAACATACTTAACATGACTTCAAGTTTGATTGTTATAGATGACTAACTACTAACTTCTATTTCTTAATTATTCTAAATAGTTTGTGATAATAGCTTTCAAGGACTAGAATTTTACAATATATTTTTTTACTTTTTAAATTTTTTAATTTACTTTTGATATTATTAAGAGATTTTCTATTCATTCTACATATCAACCACAGATTCCCTTGTCCTCCCTCCTCCCACCCTTTATCCTCCCTCCCAACCCATGCCCCATTCCCACCTTCTCCAAGGCAAGTCCTCCCATGTGGAGTTAGCAGAGCCTGGTACATTCAGTTGAGGCAGGTCCTCCCCTCATGCACCAAGGCTGTGCAAGGTGTCCTACCATAGGCTCCAAAAAGCCCACTCATACACCAGGGATGGATCCCAATCCCACTGCCAGGGGGCCCCCTAAATAGTTCAAGCTAAACAACTGTCTATCCTGAGGGCCTAGTCCAGTCCCATGGGGGCTCCACAGCTATTGGTCTACAGTTCATGAGTTTCCACTAGTTTGGCCTGGCTGTCTCTGTACATTTCCCCATCATGATCTCAATGTCCCTTGCTCATAGAATCCCTCCTCTCTCTCATCAGCTAGACTCCCAGAGCTTGGCCTGGTGCCCAGCTGTGGATCTCTGCATCTGCTTCCATCAGTTACTGAATGAAAGCTCTATGATGACAGTTAGGATATTCACCAATCTGATTACTGGAGTAGGCCAGTTCAAGCACTCTCTTGACTATTGCTAGTAGGTGGGATTATCCTTGTGGATTCCTGGGAAGTTCCCTAGCACCCTGTTTCTCCCTATTCCCATGACATTCATTCTCCATTCATCATGATACCTCTTTCTTTGCTCTCCCATTCTGTCCCAGTTCTAGCTTGAACATCCCATTTCCCTATGTTCTCATCCCCCATCCTCTACTCTCCATTGCTCTCCCTTACCCCCAGTTTGCTCATGGAGATCTCATCTATTTCTCCTTCACAGGGTGATCCATGCCTCCCTCTTAGAGTTCTTGTTAGCTAGCTTCTCTGGAGC